GAAAAATAAATAACACTGATTATAAGTGGAGTGGCCTTTAAAATCTGCTGCAATTCACATTCAGATTTAGAGTGAGTAGAGTATTAATTTCTAACTGCATTTAATTGGTCATTATAACAATACAGACCACAATCTCCCTTCTGTTCTAACCTCTGCACACCAAATTGACATCAATGATCCACTGAAGCCCAAAACAACAGGGACCTTATCCCCTCTCTTTCATCAGATGATTTACACAGGGGCAGGTAACCTGAGAAGAGGTCTCTGCCAAAAGGCTCCACATGCGAGGTGGGACTGAAACTCGGGGGTTGGGTGGGCTCCCTGATGCTTTAATGACTTTATAACAGGAAGCGGGGCTGGATGGGGAGAGGAATGAGCCTTGTTTTCTCTGCTTTAGCCTCTAACCCCTTTAAAATAGAAATGCTTGAGCTCTAAACCCCCCCTACACCTTTGAGGTTCCCAGCAAATATCTGTCTGTGAGGTGGAGTGAGTGGGGGGGTGACAGAAGTGACTCCAGGCCAATGTTGAACTCTTAAGATGTGTTAAATCTTCAGGTAATTTTAACAAAAACAACATCAGGTGTCTCCCACATTGTTCTTACAAGCCTGATTTGAGGGATAATGCCTGCTTTACTGCAGAAGTCCTTGGCTGGTCTGTAAATTGAAACAGAAACAGCATATAACCGTAACCAGTGATGTTTGCTCATTTTTGCTTGAAAAGTAACTTCACAAATCCCAAATCTTAAAATCCATTTAAAGAACCAGCCTGCTGATCGCCATTTTTCAGTGATTGACTATTCAGCTTAACATGCCAACGCGTAATAAAAATCAACAAATGATCAAATCTTAAATATTTATGTATGTTTCTTTAAATAAACAGGGTTTCTTTATCCATGGTTGAAATCGTATGTGTGTGATATTGTGTGATTTTATATTGTAGCCATTACAGTGTATGTGTTCAGATCGCAAAAACAAATGTCATTTACATGTTAACTTTCTTTCTTTAAAGCTCCAGTGTGTGACATTTTAGGAAAAAAAAAAAGGGGATCATTGTCAGCAAAATGGAATAGTAAAGATTCAGAGGTACTGTTTTCATTAGTGTATAACATCACCTGAAAATTAAAGAACGGTCTGAGTGTTTGTTACTTTAGAATGAGCTGTTTTTATCTACCCGGTCCTCTTTCTACAGAGGCCTGCCATGTTGAAACCGCCACTTCTCCAGTACA